TCAGCAGGAGGGACTGTAGGTGTACACCACTGTGTATAGCTTTTAGGTATTGAAAAAATATACATAATTTTTAAAAGAAAAAAGCCTAGATGACTTAAGAAAGAGAGGATTGAGGGTCAAGATGAATGACTATCTAGCATATGAAGCAGCATCAGAGGAAAAAAAAAGAATTACAAGAGGTATTGCCGGGAACCAGCAGTTAGCGTAATGGCTATGTCGCTGGACTCCCACGTAGCCGACCGTGGTTCGCGTCTCGGACCCGGTGGCTTAAATCTCACGCCGGGCGCGTGTGCGTGCGTGCCCAAGATCCCGAGAGGAGAATGGAGGAGAAGGGATTGTGGCGTGACCATCCCCCCTGGGGGGTGATTTCTCGCTTTCTGTCTCTATGTCTCTGTCTGTCTGGCGAGCGCACGCGCCCTATAGCGAAAACCTCTCAAAAAAAAAAAAAAAAAAAAAAGAGGTATTGCCAAATATTATGTGTTAAATCTCCTGTATGCCAAAGTCAAAATGTTTATTACTGGAGTTTATTTTTTATTTAAAAAAAAAAACTGACATGTGGCGGGGATGGTAAAGCAGCACACATATATTTTCTCCTAAAATACTTAGCTAGTAAAAGACAGACAGAGACACAGAAGATAAACAGATGACTAAGTCAGGAAGATGACTTCACATTTTAAGCTAAGAAAAGAAGGTCTGGCCTCTATGGTGCCAGACTGCAGCGCTGAAAGCCACATAGCTGACCAAAACTGGATCCTTGACCATGTCAACCTGAAACGCACGGCATACACGTGCATATGCAGAAGACCCTGACGAGCTAGAAGCCTGGGGCTAGGAGATCACAGTATGACCAGACTCTGCTGGGGGGTGATGCTTCTCTCTCACACTCACGCTTTCTTTCTGTTCTATACAAGTGTGCACGTAGGTGCAACCTCTATCATAAATTTAAAAAAAAAAAAAAAAAAAAACAGATAAGAAAAGGCTACAGAATATTTATATGCTGAAGAGAAAGATCCACTAAAGGGAAAAGTGAGACCGAGAATAAAAAATAGCTGGTAGTAGTGACCAAAGGACAAGTGCAAAGGAATTAGATGCCTGCAGGACACTTCTTCCACTGATGAAAAAGGGGTTGTAGTAATGGACCACACGGTCTAGATTCAACAGGAAAAAATGTTAATACAGAAGGTGAAGAAGACTGTCTTGAAGACTGAGGCAAATATAAACACAGGGGGGCTTCAAAAGGTTCAAAACGGAATTAAAGTATGAGTTTATTTTGGGGTACAAAAATATCTTGAAATCCATGCATAATTTTTTCACAATAGGTATTTGCCATGAACTTTTTGAAGGCCTCTCATATATCAATTATTTTCAAAAGGTGACAAACTGATGCAAGGGAAATACAAAAGCAATAACTGAAAAGGTAAGAAACTATACTTGATAAAATAGCCATTGCTAAAACTGACCAGAGACCAGCAGGTGGCATGGTGGTTAAGGTGCTGGATTCGCACATAGCAGACTATGATTCAGGTCCTGGACCTGGTGACTTGAAAATCATGCCGGGTGAGTGTGTGTGTGTGTGTGTGTGTGTGTGTGTGTGTGTGCCCCCAAAATCTTGAGAGGAGAATGGAGGAGACAGGATTGCACCAGGCCATCCACCCTGGGGGGCATGATCTCCCCACCCCCCCCACATGAGTGCATGTGACCTATAGCAAAAAAAAAAAAAAAGAAAAAGAAAACATATATATTAAGATTCTCTCATGTTTGTTAAATAACCTTAGGGCCAAAACCTCCAGAGAAAAACAGAATTTAATTATGACAAATACTTAGGTCTTTTCCACTTTTCTTATTATCACTGTTATTTATTTCTTTACCTTGATCGACTACTTTCTGTTTTGCATCTTCTATTCTTTTTAATTCCTTTTGCTTTGCTTCCATAAGTTGCTTTTCTTCTTTTAAAGGATCATATTTTATTCCTACAATAAGCATAAAAAGGAAGAATCTTGTTACCTTAAATTTAAATATACTCATTCCAAAACATATCCTTGGAAATAACCCAAAATCGGTCGGCAAAAATTCAGAGTAAAAAACAACTGAATTTGAATTAACAAATACCAAATTTAAATATTAAAATATCTCAAAAAATTATCCAAAACAATCTGTTCAAATATAATCATCAAATATAAAGATTTTTCCAAACCAAAAAAAAAAAAAAGGGGGGGGGGGGTTAACTTGAATTACAATTTTTAAAAGTCAACTTACTAGAAGAAGGCACTATGAGTAAATAAATTTCTTCCAATACAGCTTCTACTGGTTGGGTATAAAGGTTTTTCCATGGAATTATAAGTTTAAGATTACCTATATTTTGGGGGAGACAAAAGAACAGGGTAAGAAATATTACTCATTCAAACATCATTTACAGCAGGCCTCTATTCTTTCAAGCATTAGACATAACAGAAGGACCTTTAACTGAGTCACTTTACAGAAAGCCATTTTACAACCAAGAACAAGCCTCTGCTGTGATGAGTTCTAAGTACCTAAAGCAATATTCCTGGAAAGTCAAGTTAGCTATATTCTAAATATTTACAAGTCTCTATGTATGGTGATCTGTACCAGACATACCACTGTTACTCTTCCCTTAACCAACCAAGGTCAAACGTGACTCCCCCATTCTTACCCTGTAAGTATTTTTCTTCCACTTCAGAAATGTAAATTATGCACTTTATATGCATGTATATATTTTCACATTTCTGTCAGTGTATATATGTACATATATGTAATCAATACACATATTAGTATATGTAGTCTATGTGAAAAATACACACAATCACGTGATGATAAAAAAGGGCAATATTTTAAAATTATTCAAACTGGGACCAGAAAGTAGAGTGGTGGTTAAGGTGCTGGATTCTCACATGGCTGGCCAATCTTCAAGCCCTGGATACCTGGTGGCTTACTTTCTCAATTTTGCTCTCCCTCTTCTCTTTCTGTCTCTCTGGTGAGCACATATGCCCTATAGCGAACTAATAAAAAAAACTAATAATAATAATAAGAGGCAGCAAGTGGTGTGGTGGTTAAGGGCACTGGACTCCCATATGGCCAACCACGGTTCGAGTCCTGGACCTGGTGGCTTACTTTCTTACTTTCCCTCTCTCTAGCTCTCTGGTCAAATTAAAACTAATAATAACAAATGAAATTAAATAAATAAATACATAAATATTTTTTAAGAAATAAAAAAAATAATTTTTAAAAAAATCTTTAATGATTTTTAAAAAATTATTCAAGCTAATGGAAATATATTGATAATGCAATATCGAAGTAATTTTTAAAACATTAAGTTCCTTAAATTAAAAGACATTATGTATGGGGACCAGCAGTTACAGCGTAATGGCTATGTCACTGGACTCCCATGTAGTTGACCATGGTTCGAGTCCCAGACCCGGTGACTTAAACCCACACCAAGTGTGTGTGCGTGCATGTCCAAGATCTCAAGAAAATAGCGAAGAAGGGATTGTGGCGTGGCCATCCCCCCTGGGGGGTGATTTCTTACTTTCTGTTTCTCTGTCTGTCTTTCTGGCGAGCACACGCGCCCTATGGCAAAAACCTCTCACAAAAAAAACCATTATGTATGGGGGATCGTTACGCAGTGGTCCCTTTGATATCTACAGAGTACTGGTCCAGAACATCCTGTGGACATCAAAATCTTTGGACACTTGAATTCTATGTTGGCTCTCTACATTACATTACATGGGTGGCTAAATCCCATGGCATGGAACCCAGGAAAGGATAGCTGACTATACTCCAACTCTAGTTTTGTATATATAAAAAATTTCTATGATAAGAGTCCCAAAACATTTTTTTTTATTTTTTAAAGTATGAGTTTAAAAAAGGCTGCCAAGGTCAGGAAAGGGAAATACATTTAAATATAGTACATTGGGGACCAGCAGCTAGTATAATGGTAATGTCGCTGGACTCCCACATAGTCAATGCTTAAAACTTATGCCAGGCATTGGGCCGACAGGTGACGTGGTGGTTAAGGCGGCTGGACTCCCACATGACTGACCGTGGTTTGAGTCCTGAACCTGGCAGCTTTCTTTCTCACTTTCCTTCTCTCTCTCTCTGTCTCTCTCTGATCAACTTCAATAAAATGAAATAAATAATGATAATGAATAAAATTAAATAATTAAAAAAAAAACCTCATGTCAGGCATATGCGAATGAATCTCCAAAATTCCAAGAAGAGAATGGAGAAGAAGGGGCTATGGTGTGGCCATCCTCACTTGGGGATGATTTCTTACTTTCTGTCTCTCTGGCAAGTGCATACACTCTATAGCAAAAAAAACCCTCTCTTTTTAAAAAAAAAAAAAGTGTGTGTACACACACACACACACACACACACACACACACACAGTACAACCAGGTTAATAATTTAGAAAAGAGAAAAAATCCTACTTGGATTGATTTCATAACAGCCTATTACATAACTCCAAAACTCAATGTTTAGCATACCCCAAACTGGGGACCAGCAGATGGAATTACATCGCTGGACTCTCACGTACTTGACCATGGTCCCAGTCCCAGTGACTTAAAACTCATGCCGGGTACACATGTGTGCATGTGTACCCAAGATCCCAAGAGGAAAATGGAGGAGAAGGGACATGACCATCCATCCCTTCTGCGGCGGGGTGATTTCTTGCTTTCTATCTCTCTGTCTCTGTCAAGTGCCTGTGCGCTAGAACAAAAATCTCTCTTCCAAAAAAAAAAAAAAAAGAAGAAGAATATCCCAAACTGGGACCAGCAGATGGCATAATGGTTATATCACTGGAGTACCATGTAGTCAACCATGGTTTGAGTCCTGGAGCCAGTGACTCAAAACTCACATGCCAGGTACATGTGTGTGCGTGTCCAAGATCCTGAGAAGAGAATGGAAGATCAGGGATTGATTCGTGGCCTTACCCCTGGGGAGTGATTTCTCACTTTCTATCTCTCTGCCTCTCCAATAAGCACACGTGCCCTATGACAAAAATCTCTCAAAAGAAAAAAAAATCTTAGAAAGCCCCAAACTGAGAAAAAGATTTCACCATACGATGTTACTCCAGAAAAAAAAAAAAAAACTGACTTCTAAAAGAGGTATAAGTTGATAACTCTTTTTTAAAAATTATTTAATTTTTATTTATCATTCTTTTTTTTTAAATTTACTACAGGATATGTGTGCTCACCAGAGAAAGAATGACAAACAGAGAGAAAGAGGAAAAGTGAGAAAGCAAGCCACCAGCTCCAGAACTCAAACCGCAGTTGGGAGTCCAACACCTTAACCAACACGCCACCTGCTGGCCCCAATAACTCTCTAACTTTTGGAATCAAAGAAGATGGTGATCATTCAAATTTCTGCACAGACCAAAAATGTAACCAAAATGACAAAAGCATATTGGGAAAAAAAACTGTGATAAATTTGACACAGTTAACCTATTTGTAATTATACCAGACTACTCAAAACATGCAAATTAATATTCCAAAACAGTAAATAAACTAGAAGACAAATGTTAAAAACAGAACAAGTAGTCAAAAAAATAGTAATAATGTGGGGCTGGCAGGTGGCGTGGTGGTTAAGGTCGCTGGACTCCCACATGGCTGACCGCGGTTCGAGTACTGGACCTGGCGGCTTGCTTTCTCACTTTCTCTCTCTCTCTCATT